CAGCAGCTGGAAGACTCTAGAACCACCACTGTTCCCAACAACCTCAACCAGTTCTTCCATTCATGCTCCACTTTTATAAATACAGGGTTATAATACTGTATGATGTTATTTAGATTCCTTGATAAATTCTAGGCAACATATTTATGTAATTTTTATTTATGTAAGTTTTTACAGCACTAGTGGTTAATTCTTTTTTATAGTAGGCTGACAGGAAAGCAGGATGCGACAAAGGACCACAGGTAAGGTTCGAACCCGGGTCGGCTGCATCGAGGACTAAGGCCTCTGTACATGTGTTGTTTGCGCTAACCACTGTGTGATTTGTTTAAATGGAAAGAATAAAATGCTTAAGAATTAAAAACTGTTGGGAACCACTAGAGTAGAGGATTGCTGTTGTCTTAACGAGGCTTCTTGCTAATTGATTGCTGTATTCATCCTCACAATAATCCTCCTCTGGGTTTTAGCTGCACTTGTAACATTTCAGATTTGAATACTATTGCTGGTCTCTGTTGATACAATGTGAAAGTTTAATATTAACTAAGTATTCAACAACCCTTTGTATTACCAAGATATGTGCATTCCCTCAGAGAACAGGAACCTTTGGCTAGCTCTTCTTCTGTTACAACTGCTTCCTAACAGTTTATGTTATTATATAAACACTATATCTATAAATCAGAATGTCACGTGGTACAAAAGTAGATTAAGTTGAGGGTTTCCCAGTGAAGGTGGAGGTACCAGATGCATCTGCGCCTCTGCATCCAAGTCTGCAAATAATCAGTGACCTATGGATTGAAACTCCAATAAACCCAGAAAAATATGACTGACTGATCTAGAGACCAAGCGAGGAAACGTTTGGTCTGGTTTCATGTTGCTAGGGTCAAAAACTGGGCGTGTCTTTTTAAAGAAGCAGCTTGGGGAGTGTTGGTCTAGATCAGGGTAACCAATTGAAAATCAGTGGGGTCTGAATAAAGAAAATCATCAACCAGTAAAGGTCCGTGGGCTGCTCAACGGCGCAGTGGGTAGCACTGCTGCCTTGCAGCAAGAAGGTTCTGGGTCTGATTCCCGGCCTAGGGTCTTTCTGCATGGAGTTTGCATGTTCTCCCTGAGCATGAGTGGGTTCTCTCCGGGTACTCTGACTTCCTCCCACAGTCCAAAAACATGAAAGTTAGGTTAATTGGCTTATCTAAATTCTCCTTAGGAGTAAGTGAATAGTTGTATGTCCTGTTTGTGTTGCCCTGCGATGGACTGGAGACCTGTCCAGGGTGGACCCCGCCTCTCTGTCCAAGATGGACCCTGTCTCTCTGTCCAGGGTGGACCCTGTCTCTCTGTCCAAGATGGACCCTGTCTCTCTGTCCAGGGTGGACCCCGCCTCTCTGTCCAAGATGGACCCTGTCTCTCTGTCCAGGGTGGACCCCGCCTCTCTGTCCAAGATGGACCCTGTCTCTCTGTCCAGGATGGACCCCGCCTCTCTGTCCAAGATGGACCCTGTCTCTCTGTCCAGGATGGACCCCGCCTCTCTGTCCAAGATGGACCCTGTCTCTCTGTCCAGGATGGACCCCGCCTCT